ATTGTGTTCGATGCTGCTTAAACTGTAGTGTATGCTCCCATCGGCATCGATGGAATTGTTTTCGATCGCCTGTAGGTACGAACTAAAGAAATATCTATGCTAAAGCAGATAATGATAGACAAGGAGCTTCTTTTTATAGTTATAACCCTAGTACGCTATTTTTGCAACAATTGCTGTTGGGTGAATAACAGCTAGCAATTCCTATGTTGCCAACCTGGAAATTGATGGACAAGCTTGATCTTCCGCGTAGTTGCGGAACTTGCGGTTTGCAGCGTCATTACTAAGGTCATGACAAAGGATACAATTTTTCTTTGTTTCATTGAGTTTTGTTTATCGTGTACTAAGAATTGTTCCAACATTCTGCAAGACAGTTGGGTCGATAGGCGTATCCATGGATGGTGAATTTGAGTCGTGATAATCATGAACAATGAACAATGAAAAATGAAAATTGCATCTCTTCAAGTATATTTCGCTGTCTACCAAACTGTTGTATGCTCAAACTTACGGGTCAGGATTATAAATATGGATAATTTTCTTTTTCTGCAAACTCAGATGGTGAATAAGTACAAAAGATAAAAGCAGCTCGTTGAATAAAACCTATTGCCATTATTTAGCTATTTCTCATCTTGCGCAAGAGTGACAATTATAATTATAGTTGCAGAAATACGGTAAATTACTGTCTACAATCTCGTCGTCTGTAATCACGTCATATAAACTCGATTTATAACCATAGCATGTCATTAAGAATTTCCCTTATCCATAGTCGCCATGGTCTATAATCACCATTTTTATATGTGCCAAAGCATGTAACTATAGACAGTGAATCAGAAAGTACTCAATTGTTTTCCAAATATCGTCTAGTTATCTTATATCCAACGCTTTTTTTGCGAGAAATCTATTAATAAAGAATTAACATTCTTTGTAAGACAAAGATAATGCCATCAATGATGTCACAGCTACGTAATTGCCACAGATTTTGTACCATTCGTGTTTTTTGCATTATTTTCTGCAATTTTCTTGAAGATGTATTCAGACCGGCTTTGTAATTTTTAATAGCGTATATGCGCAAGTTTTTATAAAATCGACAACTTTACCCGAAACTGGGGATTAATTATCTATATATCAGCAATTTTATAGATACATGAAACCACATTCGCATTCATCAATATGCAAATGTCTGCGTTATGCTTGTTCTAACAACGGTTATATTTTTTGTTGAAAGAAAGTTATATTTAACTAATAATATTAAGAAAAACAATACGACTCGTCATTTTAATTTTAAAATTTTAGCTTATAACGAACATACAGAAATATAGTGTACGACGATTGGGAAATAAGTTAATAAATTGCACTGATCTTGCATTATATATTTTTTACAATAAGCGCTACGCGACAAAGTGGACGACTTATTTGTGTCATATCAGTTCGCGTCATGGCTCAATCCTGGATTTATCATCTGCCTCTGTTTTCTGGGACGCGCTACCTTTGTTCCGACAAATCATATTTGACTCTTATACAAAAAACAAGTAATCGTTTCGGAATTTTTTTCGAGTACAGCGACTATTTCCAAATAACCGCAAAAACCAACAATTTTCTATAATAGCATGTAATCGAAATGCACAAAGACTTTGACGATTAACTAAAATAAAAACCGATAATCTCTTACCAATTTACCTTTAACGTGACTGCTGTACTCAATACAAGTCAGAAAGTCCTACATATCTACATTAATGAACCCCTGATTTTCTTGCTATAAGAAGAAGAAATATACGGAATTTAAGACTTGGTTTATTGTCATATAAGGAAAGGCTTTTCAGAGTTAAATAGAGGAACCTTTTTCCTGAAAAGCATAACGTGATTTGATATAATCCAATTGAAAAATAGTATTTTTTTTGTGTGCCAGTTGATTGGCTACACATTCGAAATTTTCAGATCAGAGCTCAAAGGTTTCCCTTTGGAATGTTTGCACGGTTATCCGTTACTTACCTAAGGAATCTAGCATTCCGAAACAAAGCCCCGTTTAAAATCTTAAGAGTCGCTCGTCATGTTTCGTTACGCGCTTACTCACAAGGCTATCATGGCTCGAGGCCAGAAGTTATTGATCCCATTGCGACAAAACCTTCAGTTAGACTCGCGATCATAGGAAGTGGGCCAGCTGGGTTCTACACTGCTTATCGCGTCATGAAAGATTACCCGTCCGCTTTGATAGACATGTACGAGG